GGGAGGCTGCTGTTTGAAGCAGACAGCAGTTGAACTAGCTTTGGTTACCCAATCCAGAGCATAGGGCTGGCTCATCCACCGCTTACACACAGGCCGTGTGCACGGAAAGGGAAAATCGCTCCCGGATGATTTTTCACGCTAGTTCGTTCTCTTCGCACGTCCCCCAGGTTTTTTTATTTGAGCTGTTCAGGCTGGTGCAGAATGGCTGCCAAATGCACCATCTGCTCTCTGTGCAGTGTATTTTCACCATCATTACATGCTCTGTACTCGTTTTCCATATATAAACAGATATACACATAGTGTATAATACTTATTGCTAAAGACAGACCCCCACACCCAGGACATAACATAGTATAATAAAAACAATTACTGAAGTATTTCAAACATCCTCTGTAAAACGATCACCTAAAGTCACATGGACTCGGTACAACAGAAAAGAGTGTCAGCTAGTAAGAGGTGAGGCTAGCAATGGGTATTTTGAATGTGATGAAGCCTCTGACTTTAAAATGCACTCCAAAACTTCAGGTGCACGTACTGTAATATTTCTAAGCAGTAGAGAGAAAACCTACAGTTCCAGTGTTCTAAACCGACATGGCACAGATGGGTCTCATTTGCAAATGAACAGCATCATTGCAGGCACCCCCTTTACACATCAGCACCTCCACATAACCACTAACAAGGCAAGGTAGCCAAGACGGCCTGAGTGCACGCTTCTTGTTCTGAAGCCCCTGATTGCAGACTGCTTCCCATCCCGTTTTTGTTGGTGATCTTTACATTGAGCTCCAGTTCAGTTCAGGATCTGTTTTGTGCCTTTTGAAGTTTCAGTGAAGAAAAATAGTTGCAGTTTCCCTTCAAATTAAAAGGAAAAATATTTTGGTTTTAAAGCATCAAAATACTTTATAATCTTACTATGATGTTCCAGCAACTCCGTTATATCCCAACCTTCAGTCTGGTAAGGAGCGCTGGAGCCCAGTAGCGCCAGAGGGGTTTTGCTGTGCTGTGTCTAAGTTAGTAGCCAGATGGGAGCAGAGGAAGGTCACCATTTGCACAAGACCAGGAGAGGCTCATTAAAGGAAGGGAGCAAAAACATCTGAAGGTTTTGATCATGGTACACACAATCCAACACTACACAGCTCATAGGACACACCGGAGGCTGAGGACAGAAGAGCAGAGACCTTTCCCTGTGACTGCTTCCCACAGCAGCCAGAAGGAACTGGGCACAAGAAGAAGAGAGGAGTGAAGCCCTCCAGGCGTCACAGCGATGACAGTGCAGAAAGTTGAAGAACAACAAGAGATTCTCAACACATGCAAGCTACAGAACAAACGGGTGAGGAGCACATACAGACACTCAGAGATAAAATTAAGAGGTGGATGTCAGCCATACAAGAGGACTGCACCCATGGAAGAACAGCTTCAATTCTTTGCCTCCCAGCAAATGTGTGAAATCTGCCAGACAACTGCAACCCATCTTCTGTGACTATGTTAAAGACGACAACAGGCTTCTACCACTGTTAATTGCTCCATAGCTGAATGCAGCTATGTATCTAGGGCCAAAACATGAGCACTACTCAACCTACAGATACCCAAGAAAAGGGTTAGCAGGCAGCACCTTCCAACCACCCCCTTCCCTGCCACACAAAGTACCTCTGTTTTGTAACTGACACACAAGCAACCCCACCATGGGCTATCTGACCACATCACTGAGGCTACACTGCATTTATGACTGCAATACTGATGTCCTACTGCCATCACTGCCACTGAAAACACAGAATTCCTGATGCCTACAGTATGGTCACAGGAAGGAGAACGCTTTGAAATCAGTGACCCTGATACCTCCACGGAAAGAAAAAAATAAAAATAATTAAAAAAAAAAAATCAACCCTCAGGCAAAAAGCTGGGAATTTAAAGGCTCCACAATTTTGCCATTTAGCCCTGTAAGATCAACAAGGCTTCCGCAGAATGGCATTTCCCTTTTGCTCATGACTATTAAGAACTTAAAAGGCGGCTGCGACTTTTAAAAAGTTACCTTTCTATGCACTTCTATGTATCAAAACCAGTCCTTACATTACTCTATACCATTTCCTCCTCAGAGAGAGTCTGCCTCCTTCATCACACAGCACAAGTAACTGCAATTCACGCCCTGGTAAGTGATGCTGCAAACAGACTGCGTGTAGATCCCTGGCTTATTTACAGAGGAAGCAGGAAGACACATGGAAAATTATGCCTACAGGGAAAAAAAAAAAAAAAAGATTCCCTCATTAAGGCCGACTGGAAGAAATATTGATATAAGTCAGATCACATCAGGTTTGACTGGCACACGAGCAAAAGCAATCAACTGTAGGTGACATTCTGTGCAAAACACTCAGCATTTTCATGGCACTTGACTTTAAGCATTTAAGAAAAACAATTTCAAAAGCATCCCAAACCTTTGAATACTTGAGAAACCGGGGCCAAAACGAATGCTCAACATGTTACAGACTCAGAGCACGATTTGAGACAGCAAACTCAGACAAGTTTGCGAAGCATTCAAGCAATACATAACATATCATAGCACTGTCCTTAAGGACACAAGATTGTATTTCTTAGGAGACATGAACGGTTGCTTGAATTTTTATAACACGTGACTAAACAAGACACGAAGATAAAAAAATACCAAACAGATTGTTTTTGTAAGCACAGTCCATCCTGAATAAGGCAGGATCCTGAGGGATAAAATTACATACTTGTGTAAATTTAGAGACCGTTACATATACAAACAGAAGACAAGTTAAAGCTGCAATGGCAACTTGAACTTTGACCTTACGATGTCCTTTGCAGGATACCATTCCTCCATCTTTGCACCAAGAATGAAACGTCCATCCTCCCACCTGGAATCTCTCAGTCCACCTCCACGTTCAGCAACATTTACAGTTATATTACATCACACGCATGCACACACATTGCATAATATTGCTACAGTGTATGCTGTATAAATTCTGTAAATACACTCCACTTTGTTTCAAAGTAACGCATCTGGATTTACACTTCTCCTATACAGTACACACAGTACCACATTCAAGGATACGCAGCAAGTGAATAATATATAAAAAAGTCTCACATATCCAAAAGCAAGTAGGTCACTCAACTATTCATATTGTTTGAAGCAGTTAGTTAAGCATCCAACTATATAACAGAATATTATAGTTATTAACAGCTGCTGTAAAAAACATCAGCAACTCCTCAGCTCGTGTTCTTTCCGCATTTAAGTTGCCAATCACTATCCCATAATTAACTTCCATGCTACCACACAGGTCTGTAATGTCTCCTATCAGCTTGATATGGCAAGACTTTTTAAATAGCAACCTCTCTGTAGCAGGGGTTTACACCATGCTTTGGACATAAAGAGTGATTAATTCCCTCCAGACATGACAGGCAGACGGGAACGTCAGGGTAGGTTTATTTTAGCAATGAACCAGCCATGCTGCTCTCTTTCTCAGTAATGGTTTTATCACCACAGTTCAATGCACTGGTTGCAAAGTCTTTCCCACATAATCCATCTTTGGCACATTTTTCAATTTTATGCAGCCTCAAAAGGCATTCCAAGATGTTTTTGATTTTTGATGGTCTGTACATTGTAACAATCACTTTTTTACATTTGTATGTAGATCAGGAAGAAAAGTGGAAAATGTAGAGTATGCAGAATAGTTTTAATAAAGAGTTTTACATACAGTACCTTACATATAGAACAGTGTGTTTGAAAATTTAAATAATTTTTTGAATGTACAGTGGCTTGTACTCTTATCAAAAGGTAAATTCAAGTTTACTGTCTATCGGTTCTAAAATGCATTTATACAGATAACTAGAACTGATAAACAGACGTGAGGCATAAAATGTTCAAGTATCTTAATGTCATCAGTTAAATAGCCTCCTTTTAACAGTCATATTTTACAAATTTCAAAACCTGTACATACATTATTTTCAATTTTAGAAACTGCTTGTTAAAAGGTAACATTTGTGTTAACCACCAGTTCTAATAGTCTATTGTAATAAAACTAGACATGTGTAGATAGAAATGTATATAGTATGTATATATGTACGTGTGTATCTATACACACATACATACACATACGAGTGTGGATGTAGCACTGGGTACAGAGGCAACTTAGAAGCACAGGGAAAGTCCTGAGCTCAAAATCCATCAAGAGCTAATGGAGCAAATAGGTTGCCTTTGGTTTCATGACATTTCACTCACTGAAACTGAAAGATTTTTTTTTATAAAAACATCTTGGATAATGTATCTTGTGATGTTCAGTGGTTTAGTATATTCACAGCCACAGACAGTTTTGCTGCTTTCGTCCTTCCTCATCCCAGCTGAGGATGGTAAAGTTGCAGAGGGTCAACACCAGAACAGAGCTACCCAGGACAAAAATTGTACCTTGAATCCTGAATACTGCAATAGAACATAAAAAAATATAAACTAGATACAATTTTGGATGGATTGCTGGCACCGAGTAGGACTTTGGAAAAAACCTTCATGTAAGTCGCAATCAAACTCTTATCCCAGTGGTTTTAGTATTATTTGGCACATCTGACCACTATTTGCCACTTGAGTTTTAAAGGAGCCTAAGGGTGCTGTAATAAGGATTTCTATTTAAAAAAATACTTTAAAAAGGAGACCATGATAAGTAATTTCTTTCAACAATCAAAGCTAGGATGTTCCTTTTCCTGAACATTCTCGAGAGAAGGAAATAATCTAAAAAACTTTCAAAAAACTTTCCTTGTAGAGAGGATACAGATCTCTCTGCGTCTATCTTCCACTAGCAAGACAAAAACGAGGTTCATTAAAAAAACAGTTCCCAATAATTTTTACTCAGTCTGAATTGAATTTTGCAAATTTAGATTATTTTTTTTCCTAACAGTTTCAAGACAGTAGCATTGCTCTTCAGAGAGTTTTTATTTGTTCAGCTTTCTTACACACGGGGATTTTCTTGCTTACCATATTAAAATCATATCAACATCTCTCAGTATGTAATATATTACATTTTGGCATTTGAGTGTTGAATATTCAGATTTTCAGTGTAACAGATTCCTTGCTCAAGATTCCCTCTCCATTCTCTAAAGCTTCAGGCTATTAATGTAATCAGTGAAGAACCAGATAAATGCTCAGCTTTTTGCTACCTTCCTGTCAGTCTTGTGGCTAATAAGAAAATTCACTGTAAAGAACCTATTTTTATTTCTTTATTCTTCCTGTTGTCATACAGAGCAAAGGGTTGCTATTTGCTGTACTTTGCCCATGTCAATTAAGAGCTGTTTGATACGTCGCTTGAGCTGAGGCAACCTTGCCAGAGGATCCGGTGGTTCCAGTTCTCCAGTGAAATCAAGCCAGCTTTCTAAAACTGCAGGAAAGAAAAGAAGTTGGTTAGAATAAGTCTCCAAGAAACAGTTTTCATAAAAATTGAACTTCTTTCTTACACTGGCCTTTATAAAAAGGGAAAATACACTGAGGCTGTGATTTTCATTTAACAAAGGAAATCTTTATTAGGGAAAAACCAACTTATTCCCTGTTTCACTCAAACAATCCAATTATCTTCCGATTTGACAGTTATTATAAAAAGGTACCTGGGAGCAAAGTACCCTTGGCGAACAATTTACCATCTACACAAATAAAAGAAACCTCAGTTCACTTCCTTCTAGCTGTGACAGTCCTGCAACAGCAGGACTCTGCAAATGCAAGGCTTGCTGCTCTCACTTGAATAACAGCATTTGCAGAGGGTGTTTGCAAGGCTTGCTGCTCTCACTTGAACAGGCTCCTGTTCACAAGGGCCAGACTACAGAATGGTTTTCCACTCTTCAACAAATGCTTTTCAAGAAATTTCTATGCTTGCAGACACAGAGAAGGGAAAAGGTCAGCCCTGATAGCCTAAAAATACTGCCTAGTACAAGCAGGAATATTAAAACTGCAAATAGACACCTTCATCTGTCAAAAGATAATTAACAACTCCTGTAACTAGACTACAAACTCCCCCCATCATTGGTTTCTATGACTGATGAGTAAGTTTAGATACTTTAATATTTACTCCTGCACTATAATCTCATTCAGGTTTGCTCATGAAGCCTGATTTGTCTTCCTGAAACCAGTTATTTACAAATATATAGCAAACCAAAGTTGCAAGCAGAATGAACACTTTTTTTCCTAAATATTGTCAAATACCAGAGCAATCAGGTCAAAGACACTCCAGGCATAGAAAGATTCATCAGCTTTATGATCCATATCCGGACCAACACCGGGCAAGTTATCTAAGCCTTCTGATGTCTGCCTAATATCACAAACTGAATTTTCAGGGGTCCCCAGCGCTTAATCTACTTTATTGGGCATTCAAAACCTGTGGAAAAGGGTGGAGTGATCAAGGGTACAAGTTCTGATTATAATTTTGGGTACCCAAATTTGAACACAATTCTAAAAAATCCATCCCTAGGGTCTCAGATCCCCTTCAACAGAAGGGCTATGAAAGATGCTGTTACAAGTGTATTAACAAGTATCTGGCAATGCAGTTACCATCAACTTCTTTTTCAATCAGGTCCATTCTGCTGGTGACTTCGTTCTGTACATTCTCTATATGGGTAAGGAGATTTAGCTGCCATTGAAGATGTGTGTCCACTTGTTCTTCTGAGCCTTTTCTTTCATTACAAACAAACACACTGTTTCCTTCAACAGAATTCTTCATAGGAGCAAGAGAAAGAAAAAAAAAAGCCATTTAAGAGGGTTTTTTTGGGTTTGCTTTGCTTTTTTCAAATTTCTGGCGTTGACGTCAACACTTGAGTCACATGATATACTACGCTGGTTTAGAACTGTACTTCTGCCTACTTGACAAACAACGTACTCAAAGAGCCATGTACCATGACGCGTCAATAGACTAAACCAAACCAAACGCAAAATTGCAGAGGTCACTGGGGAGTGAGGCAAGAGGTAAGGTTTACCAGCTCAGGCACATTGTTTAATGCAGTAATACAGACTGCATTCCCGTGCCCTTTTTCTATAAATCATGACTTAGATTATGATGCTGAACTGCATCGCTCTATCACCCCCAAAAGTGTACAAAACCCTAAAGTTAGTTTCAACTTCTACCAGAAAATGAAGGAAAACTCCCTAAAATGCAGCAATTCCAAGAGGTCAAAAGCAGCACTATTTTGCAAATTCAGCTGGCCATTTTATTTGTTGATTCAGACAGAACACTTCTCTTCCCACCATTGCTGTGGTCCCATGCAACTGGCAAGCAGAAGTCTGGGACAGAATTGAACACGTTTGGGGATAGTTACAAGGGCAGTAACACGCAGAGTTATGCAAACACAGTATTTGAGGATGATCGACTTCTTTGAAATAATTAGTATCTTCATAGCAAGTCAGTGAAAATAAAAGTTCCTCATCATTCTGTATCTGATGTTTCAGCTAATGAAAACGACCAAAGGAAGTATACCAGATTTAATGAGGTAAAATGTTCAGCATCTCCATTGATTAGCAGGATTCACAGTTTCTATTTTATATCCATTATTACATCATATCTGATGAAGTTCTTTCACTAGTGATGATTCTATTTTAGAGACCAAAATGCTGAATACGGGTGCTCACAGTGTCAGTTCACGGCAAATGCCAGAAAAAGGAGTGAAGTTCACTGCATTAATACACTCCTCTGACAAAGTGGTTAGCTACAATTTTTTCCCCCATCACATGAGAAAAAAAAATGGTGCTAGGTCTGTTGTTAGAAGTATTTTTTCAGTCAAGAATGAGATGACTGAGAAGAGAGGAAGAAAATAGGGACTGAAATATTTTAAGTTACTACTTAACCAAAAATTAAAACTTAGATTAATTAAAAACGAACAAACAAAAAAAAAAACCACAGATCTTGCTCATAAAGCTGCCAGCAGGTTGGTCCAAGTCCTGCAGGACACGTATTGTTAATATTCACAGTATTGATTAAAAGAGTTGAAGTTATTTATTGAAAACAGATTTTAAAAGTCATAAAAGCCTCTAAACTCTCAAACCTTTCAGATAAAATCTATCATCTCAAGACATCAGGTTTGCCTCCACAATGTTTTCACTATATAAAATATTATTAATCTACATAAAGAATATTTCCAACATAAATAAGAAATGCCCCATTTCTTACAATTTTCAGACCCTCTCTAAAACCGTAAGGGCACCCCCACCATTTTTTTACCCTGCTGTATGGGGACCATAACTCCAAAACCAAGATTGTGTTAGGTGAATCTTTTAGATACCCACTGCAGTAGGTTAGAGAAAATCTTAAAACTAAGTAACTTAAATGCCATAAAAGTATTGTTTTTTTTTTTCTTTTCCCTTTTAATCACTTGTGTATTTATTCAAATGGATAGTAAATGCTCACTGAAAACTCAAACAGGTCCTGCTCTGAGCCGAGAGATCAATGCAGGCAACCAGGGAGTGGTGGCAGCGGTGGTAAGAGAAGCTGGGTAAAGGGCCCAGCTTGTGAAGAAGAAATAAATGGGAGGTTCAGGTGGGGGAGGCTTGTGCTTTCATAGATCCATAAAATGGTTGGGGTGGGAAGGGACCTTAAAGATCATCTAGTACCAACTCCCCTGCCATGGGCAGGGACACCTTCCACTAGGCCAGGGTGCTCAAAGCCTCATCCAGCCTGGCCTAGAAGACATCCAGGGATGGGGCATCCACAGCTTCTCTGGGCAACCTGTTCCAGTGCTTCACCACCCTCTCCAGGAAGAACTTCTTCCTGATATCTAATCTAAACCTCCCCACTTTCAGTTTAAACCTGTTACCCCTTGTCCTGTCACTACAGGCCCTTGTAAAAAGTTCCCTCCCAGCTTCCTTGTAGCCCCTTCAGGTACTGGAAAGCTGCAAGAACAAGGAAACTAAATACAGCTTTAAAGAGGATGTAGAGTCCACAAAGGAACTTGGTCATAGCCCATCTGAGCACTGTTTATAAAAGAACAGAAGATATGTTACAGAACTGCAGATTAAGATAAAGGAAAACGGTATGGAAAACCAGAATATTCAGGGCTCTGTGGGATGCTAGAAGGGAGACTCTAAAGCCTCACCCAGAACATTTACAAGAAAGGTGAAGAAGGTACCTTACAGAGAAGTCAGTTCATGTAAAAGTGGCACTTCAATGTCAGTGTCATCACGGTATTAAGGTAAGTACAAACCGTTCATGGAGAAACCAAGGAGAGCTTTTCCATGTGGAGTAAGCCTACACAGAGAGCCCTGTTTCAGGTATCAAGGCGGACTCCTGACCACAAGGTGAACTAAGATATCCCTAAAGAAACACTGCTCCCAAACATGTATCTCCCTCACTTAAAACAGAGAGCAACAAGCTTTTCAGATATCTGCTTTAGTCTCTGGAGGAAATAGTTTTGTTTTATTGTTCACACATATTTTAATTCTAAAGATATTTATACTACTTACAATGACAATTAAAGCTCCTGTTGGAAGGAAAATGTATTTCACACTACTGCATGTCTCCTTGCTACACAAATGGAGTATAATCATGCAATCTAGCATACAGTTATTTCTAACTAGAATAAGAAAAAATTTTCCATTCAGACTATATAGCTTACATGCCACATTTTAAACTAGAATTAAAGAAAAACCATCTTACTCATTTCTTCCACACCAGAACCTGTACTTGAAAAAGGGGATTAGTTGGCAGATTTATTCTCACACAGTTGGCATTGTAGAAAACAAAGGTTTGGTTTGTTTTTTGCTCAAAGAGAACTCTTCACTGAAACCAGACTAACAAGTTTCAGAACTTTTCCAGAAAGTACTGGATTCAAACCATTAATGCAAAATGAGAGATGTTTAAATAGCCAAATAGGATGCTGACTAAACACCTGTGAAGCATTTAATTAGAAGAAACATGCAGTAAGAAAGACTCAAAAAGAATTTGCACATGAGGTGAAATCAGTTGGTCAGTAAATCATTACTGTGGGCAGAATTCTACACAGTGTTGCCAGTAAAGGGAGAACACGATACAATAATAAACACTTTCACAAACCTCAGTTTAACAAGAAGCAACAAAACCATAAGTAGAAAAACAGACCTGGGAGAAAAAAAAAGAAAACTCGTCCTGTTTTCCTCACCTCAAAAAAACATTTAAGTTCTGTTTCAAGGCCCTGTATTCTAAGCATTGGATTTTCTTGTTCAATCTAATGTTTTGAAGAAAACAAACAAACAAACGGTTTAGCACAGGCAATACTTCAATCACACTTTGCATTTCACCCTCCAATCAAAATGGGTATAGTTCACCTGAAACTATTTCAGTGACCCAGTTTTGCTTCTATTGATTCCTGCTTATTTACGTGATAAAATATGTTGAAATATAACAATAAACACTTCCAAATACTTGAGTTTTATCAGACTGAACATATTTTTCCAGCTAAGAAACTTTCCAGATGAAGAATAATAGTTACCTGCTCATTCATGCCATCATCTTTAAAAGAATATTGTAAACAGTTTCTATTCTCTGTGTGAAATTCCTGATCTTCCTCAAAACTACTTGTATCTTCATCATCTGAGCTCATAGGATCAGCAACTGTTTTGCAGTCTTGACCAAAACTCTGTGGTTTTTGGTAACTGTGCTCACTTGTGATGTAAGTTTCTTCCATCTTCTGGGGTACAGTGGGTGGCTCTCTATGGTTGTGACTGTGACACGTCCTTTCCGTTGGACTAACTCCTGGCAAAGTCAATTTTTTCTCTACCCCAACAGTTATTTGTTCTTGTTCTTTTCTCATCCCTGAATAAGCCCAGAGATGAAGGTCTGGGTGATGCTTATTTCTGCAAGGGAGGGGAGGGAAGTCACCATGTTAGAGAATACCACTTAACAGCACTGAACTATTAATCATCCACTTCTGCTAGATCACAGCTACTGATAAGCTCTATTATCAGAATGTAAGTATTCCTAAATCACTCATCAATTTTGGATAAATCCAGAACATCCCTTTAACACAAAAATTAGTATTTTAAGAAAATCACCTAAAACCCAATATAGTGGATCTGGTCAGGTGCTAAACACCTAACTCCCACAATACTTCACGTTTTGCACTCAAGTTCTTTAAACTATTATACAAGAAAGAACTTTTAATGTGAGAATAATGCACATGGAGTAACGGTAGCCTTTGCTACCTAAATATATAAAGATGGAGAATGAACCCTGGACTGATACTTACTTCAATATCCCAATCTTCAACTGCAGTCCATGCAGTATTTCAGTTACACCATATACATCTGCCAGCAGGTGATGTGTTGACACAATCTTTTTGGCATTAAGATGAGAGTAGTTTTCTTTCAAAAATGATAATCCACACATGTGGCCATTGTTTAGCCAGTCTTTATCATAAAGATATTTGGCACTCCACCTCTGACCTGGGGTAAGCAATAAACAAATTGAAGGCAACAGCAGAACAGTATTTGAAACTAGAGTGCTATAATTATATGCTGTACTCTCCTAAACGTCTCCTAACATTCATGAAGGAATGATCAAGATCTTGCTATTAATATATTAAAACTTAGTTTTCATGGATTAAGAGGAATCTCTCAACACTTATGAAAACAAAAAAATAAATCTGAAATCTCAAGGCCTCTCTAAGTGGCATTTGAAAAATCTAATCACCTTTGCAATCAATGTACAGGATATTAAGAACTGTGCTATTATCAATCTAACTGCAAAAGAAAGTGTAAAGTGGCATTTTATTTAGCTACTGTAGTCTACTTTTAAAAAAAGAAAGCCTTAGTTACCAAGAGAAATGTTACAGAATGGGTTTTATATGGACATATCCAAAACACCTGGTTTGTTTTTAAGACAAATACTTTGCTTCATTCACAGAACAGTCAGTATCTATTTATTAGAAACCATGAGAAGGCTGCACGAAAAGCACATTTCAGTGTTGTCTGTCAGCAGTATTCTTGCACTCTCCTCCGAGCTGCCTTTTATCGAACACAACTAGACAGGATATTGATGTGCAGGCCTCAGGTCTCCCATGCTGTGGCAACATCTACAGCCTTAACCCAACAGGCGTGAACGAGTATTTAGCTAACGCTTCTATGGTTAGCTAATAATTATAAAAAAAAAAACCAACAAAACCAAACACCCAAAACTAGAAGTGTACAATGCTAATCATTCCAACATTATTGTTTACAATGAGGAACCCAGACAAACAGATTGACTAAGACTGCAATATCTTACACTCAGTTTCATATCAGACTATCATCATACACAGAACAAAGAATGGGTTGATGGAAGCCCTTCATACCTTTCAGGAGAATACCCTGTCTATCTCCTTTCTGCCCATTATCCCAATACACTTTAAAATACTGACATTGTGAATGACCTTTTTCTCCTGACACAGAAAGAAAAGAAGTAATGGTTAGGAAGGGAGAGAAGATAAAAATTAGGGACACAGTCTCTGTATAGCGGGGGATAATGAAGTACCTAGTACAGTGCAAGGAAAGAACACAAGACAAATTAGTTGGTTTTATTAAGAAAAAGTTTGACAGCTCAAAGAGTACAGCACACAGAACTATCAAACAAGACCATACCATCAACTTAGAGCTTGACGGATGTGACTATTTCCATTTGTCCCAATATGAATCTATTTTCCTAAACTTTCTTCTCAAAAATAACTAATGAAAACTGAGCTATTTTGTACCTCTGCAAACAGTTTTCAGACGTCACTTCTTTGTTCCATAATGGAAGTAAATTTGGGGGTGAAGTCTCCCTGCCCTTTTGAAACAGCCTGGCTGTTGGCTACGTCACCAGAAGACACGTATGTGCGCTTGTACCTACTGCAAGGACAAATGCGAAAAACTTTCTTCCAAATCGTATTGTTTTTCTCCAAATAACTTCTAAGAAAAATGGTGTTTTAGACAGAATAATTTTTAAATCAACACCTCCTACTCAAATCTATTCAGTCCAAAAGTAAATAGACTTCTCCTAATTCCTACCATTTCAAACTTACCCTAATCTTAACTTCAAGATGTGCTGTTTGTGCACTATTGTTTACCATAAAGTGCTAGATTTTTTTGTATTTTAAGTATTCAGTTCCACACCTCTATTTACACAATTCTGGACAAACACAAACATTATAAAATTGTAAGCAATATGAAATGACACCTACAGCATATTTGAAAACACTGTGGTAATGAGTCCTTTTTCTCATAAAATAGTATTTAAACAAACAGATGTGATTCCAAGTACACGATAAAGCAGATCCCTGAACAAGAACGATCTGCTTACAACGACTTTTCAGACTACAATGACATGAGAAAGTGCTAAGGTTTTGGGGGAATTAAGTTTTAACAACTAAAGCAATGGTAATTAAGGTCACAAAAAAGTTTTAGCATATCCGAATAAGATGTTATTAACAGGAAAGTAAGTTTCTGCTCAGAGCCAGACTTAGAAGCACTTACCCCGAACTAGTATAACAGGTAACAGAAATCAGACAAAGCTTTAACAATTTAAGCAATGCATAACATGTCTGCTTAAAGTCCCCAAGCAGACAGCTGATAAAGGTGGTTTGCCCGTACCTGGTGGATCTCTGCAGATGTAACAGATGTACTGGTCTGGAATGCTGTCCTCCAGCAGTCCCATGCACACACTGTGCTGCCAACACAAGCACTCTTCACACTGACATCAGAAAAAAGAAAAAACAAAAGCAAAAAAACTAAACCCAAGAGAAGTAGATTCAAAAATCAGGAGCTATTTCTTGTATTGTCAAAATGCAGAGAACAGCAGTTTAACTTAAATAGCTGGTTTGAGCAAGATTATTTTAGATGGGCAATTTGTGTTTGGGTAGGCAAAGACATCAAGCTAAAAAAACAGCTCTAGTTCTGAAAGTTACCTCAACCACAAATTCCATACTGGAAAAAAAAGAAATTGAAGATGAAATATTTAATATTATTTTATTAACATATTCAGTATTTTAGCACCTAAGGATTTAGTAGTGAAACATAAGACAGGAGTATAATACTACAGTAAAATAGAAAGATAATGGAATACATTACAGCATAACAGTGAAAAGGAGAAAACTCTTCAGTTTAATTATTTATATTTACAAAGCATCTCTCCAGTGCGCTAGAAAGATGTGTTTTTAATATCGCACCAATGGAAAATCTAAAAGAAAGAGAAAATGAAGAGAAATTGAAAGAGGAGAAACAAGAGCATAGGAGAGCAAAATAGAAGTGGTAAGACTTGCGGGCCTAGAAACAGCAAATGGGTTGCTCTCAGTGAGACAGTGCATGAAGGGTGGGGAAAAATAAAGAAAAAAAATCAGGCTGTCATTGGACTTAAACAGGCAGGAAACTACCTTGACACTTAAAAATATATTTCCCTTTCTCAACTCAGCTTTTGCCTGTGTTTTAAAAATCTGCTGGTTTACTTCTGGAATTCTCTCCTCTTTGCTTTGCCATGTTTTTGAGCATCAACTTATTCAAAACACTGAAGTCACTTTTCCTGTTGTTACAACACTACAGCTACCATTTCTTTTCCTCTCTCTGAAGGTTTCTACGCCAGTCCATTTTTTCCACATTATTACCACAGTTAAACTCCTGCTTAGCTCCTCCAACACAGCACTATGTTTCAGTAATGCGTTCCCAGGGACGGTCTTTGTGTCCCTTCTTTTCAGGTCTTTCTGTTATTTCCAAAAGACTTTCGACAGTCATACTTCCTTCCTTCAAATCTCAACTAAAAAGGCTCCTCCGTATTTTCAACAGAAACTCTACCAAACTAGTAGTTGAATACAAAACTGTTTGAGTGGGGACAAAACACAGGAAGTTCATGGCTTTTTTTACTGACAACTGAGTTCTCTCTCATTGTTGCTTACATCTGATCCAATCGCTATACTATGAATTCCGTGAGACAACCCCTTCATATTACTCATTACTAGATGGGAAATGCTCCCCTTACTGGAGTACAAATAAGGAAGCAGCAGTAGTTGCAATCCATCAGGACCTGAATATTGTGCAGACACTGTATACACGTCTTCCCTTTTCCCTGCACCAAGTAAGATTTAAATTCTTAGCAGTTTCTAAAACCAGCTAGAAATCACTGGTTTGAGAACTTCTGTTCTAAAGATGAAGCACACACATCACTGTTACTGACAATATTAACATCTATCTAGCAGAGAGCTTGGATATAGCTGAGGTACATCTACAGTGAGCAGCGTGGTATCTACAACTGGTACTGCAAAGCACAAGAGCCAAACCAGAAGGGCTGGTATAATCAGGATGGTCTGCAGAAAGAAGCGATGATTGGCGTGCAAGAAAGGATACTTTATTCCGAATTGATCAACTGGCTATAAAGAAAAGGATTACCTTTCATTACAAACCTCTTGCACATATCAAATTGCTAGAGAAACCCCATCCTAGAGTAACGGTTCTGCATACACCGAACACAGGCACAGCAAGTGCAGAACACTAAGGTTTTGTTACTGTTTACTCCTCTTTTCAGCTTTCTACATAACTGTGGTCTCCAACACATCAAAAGGGCACCTTCACAAGCAAGACATTCACATGGGAAATACATATATCCCCCCTGCTTAAATTTCTTTACCTGAATCATAAAGCCATTTTCTTCATCCAGTTCACAAATGCATCTAACAATTTCATTGAGAGCATCATCTTCATCCTGAGACTCTTCAAAGTTAGTTGAATCAAAATCCTGGTTGTATTCATCACCACTAAGTAACAAACTCTCTGTAGAGGAATCATCCAAGAACTCCACATCTGAAAGGTCTAGTAAAAATGAACATATGTGAACTGTGTGTGCAGAGACACAATACTTGACAGATATATAAGGGGTACTGGCAGTTAAAAATCTGAACCTGGATATAGCAAAAAAAAATATCTCAAAACACGCTCCTGGTATATTAGATTGCCTAAAGAATTCTGCAAAATGCCTTTAATATGGCCTCCTCAAAATCAAAGTAGCAACACTTAACCAAATCAAATACAACACACAACAGCTTGAGGAGTGTAAGCATTTTTATGGAAATAGATGAAGTATAATTCAGTCACCATATTTATAGCTACAATCCCAACATAAAACGAATTATTTCCTTTAAAACAAAATTAAGCCTACAAACTGAAAGCTTCTGTTCAGCCAACCTACTTTCTCCACTGAGGTCAACAGACAAGATAGCTCTTGGATACTGGTATGATGTATTCTTCTCTGAAAACATGCTGCGCAAAGTCAGAGAGCTTCCTGAGGACCGTGTTAACGGAGAGGAGCACCTGTCCAAGAATTCAACAGAACTATCTTCATAATCTGAATAATCTGAAAAGGGGAAAGAAAATAAGTGACTGTTACAGAAGTTTATGACCAAAAAAAAAAAAAGTGAAGTATACAGCAACATTATGTTCAGGAGAGTATCAATACTGAGGTGTCAGGATGTTGAAACTGAAAATACGAAATGGCAAAAGCTCTTCATAATTTATTTTATGAAAAAATTTATTAAGACATAATGTAGACTTCCTTACCCACTTAACTTCCCCATCTCTGAATGTAGAGAGGAATAATTTTCCCTAGAAAATTATACAGTCCCCTCAACTGATCCTGAACCATCTGCTATCCTTAGAGACGCTGCTGGTAGCTCTCTCTTTTTGCCTTCAGTCTGTTTGTAGCACTACCAACATCGCTACCCAGAAGTAACTGCAGACTGTCCTGTCAGCTTAAATGATAAAAGCTTGTCTGCATACCTACAGAGAACAGGGAACCCAAAGAAAACTCTCCTGGGATGCTCCCAGGCACCATCTGCCATTGATAGGCCAATGGCTCCTGGGATGGGACATCATAGAATGGTTTGGGTTGGAAGGGACCTTAAGGATCACCTAGTTCCAACCCCCCTGCCATGAGCAAGCACACCCTCCCCTAGACCAGGTTGCTCCAAGCCTCATCCAGCCTGGCCTTGAAGACAGCCAGGGATGGGGCATCCACAGCTTCTCTGGGCAACCTGTTCCAATGCCTCACCACCCTCTCCGTGAAGAACTTCTTCCTTACATCCCATCTGATTATACTCTGCTTCAGTTTAAAACTGTTACCTCTCATCCTATGATAACGACTCCTTGATAAAGAGTCCCTCCCCACCCTTCTTGTAAGCTCCCTTTAGTACTGAAAGGCTGCTATAAGGTCATCCCAGGGTCTTCTCTTTTCTTGGGTAAACACTCCCTCAGCCTATCTTAATAGGGGGAATGCTCCAGCCCCCGGATAACCTTCATGGCCCTCCTCTGGACCCACATGTGCAGGTCCATGTCCTTCTTACGCTGGTCAAGAGACAATTAACAATCACTATCCATTTACTCTTCTTAAAACTTACTACATTAAATACAAGTGAGTAATCAGATACCCACACTTCCATCCTTCTGCAGGAACCATTCCT